TCGACACTGCCGTTCTTATTGTCGTCGTCGTAGTAATCGTAACGAAAACGATGATGATGACGATGAATGTGAGAGACATCGCGATGTAACACAAATATACGATACGTGGTAAAAAACGATGCGTACCCGAACGCTCTATTAAGAGTAATGAATCACTTTTCGTGATTTTTCTATATATATGACATGAATCATGTTTCATACCTTAATATTTTTGCAGACGAAACTATTATCTATCTAAGAGGAAAGGGATATGACATCATTACTTTTTGTAAGATATAATATATAATATATTTAAGGTAATGTGTTTTACAATACAATATGATAGCGTATGAAACTTAATAAAGAGTTTAAACATATTATACAATTTTGCGAATAACATTAGTCAATGGATTATACTCTATCACCCTATCGTGAATAATAAGACAATAAGCTGTGGTGTTCAGTGGAATATTTTCCATACATTCGAATTCTGTACGAATATCTACAGTGGCGCTCTTTATCGATTCGTTTTGGCGAGAACAATCGATCACTACGAATGGACCGTGTACAAGAAATTCTCCGATGGATAACATAGGATCGCGATTGTTGTAACCGTAGTACGTCTTTTGAAATTTTACATACATATCGTACAGTATAGCGTATTTTTTGTGTTCGAAATCTAAATTCATATCATCGTAAGGATAAAAATCAGAATTCAAAAAAAGTTTCACATTAGTGAGATTACATATGTCGAATTGTGAACCATTTTTCGACGTTACGTTTCTTTTTCCGGTTTGAAGTGCAAAAATTACGTATCGTGGTTTTTCCAATTGCGACGTTGTTTTAACGGCCCACGAATGCTTTGTTGTGCTTTGCAGCAGAGGAAATTCGTACAGGTCCCACGACCGGAAACATACGCTGAGATATCGTCCACCTTCCAACGTTCGCAAAAGTGATAATTTATTGACATCGTTCAGCACTACATGTGGCATTCTCCATTGTATCTTTAATAGTGTGATATTAGGTTCCGTCGATTCGTGCGTCACAACACAATTGTTATCGTTACGCGCACGTATCAGGATAAGTTTGTGTCGCGCGTTTATCACTATGCGTTTGTAATCTTCACAAAATCCTAGGAGTGTGTTGAGTGGTACGCAAAAGTTGAAATTCTCGGAAAGCGGTGTGCGAAATAACTGCATCGTGCCGTCCCATCCTGCATTTTCTAACGTTATACTCCTGCCAGTGGTTAACGATATGAAATTTTTTATCGTACTGGTAATACCAACGTTTCTAGATCTATCGATTTCCACACCGTCTAACTCGTACCGAATCTCATCGAACATGAACGCGACGCAATTATTCGACAATTTTGGAGGTTGCTCCTCGGATGTGTTTCCATCTCGTTTTGTCGTTGAAAATTTTCCCTCGACGTAGAGAAAACTCTCACACGGTAACGTGTACAGATCCTGATGCTGTATAGGTATTCGTATTTCATCGCTGTATCCGAATGTGGTGTTAGCGTATGGGTTGTAAGTGTGAGTCTCGATCTTAACGATACGATCGTCGAAGATAGGCTCACCCCCTATGTTTAGAATATCGCGACTCATTGTTCACGACGAATCCCAGAGACCGTAGAAATTTGACGTTCGCAGCGTTCAATCTCTCCTCCGTTCCTCTCCGTTTTCTTCCAACGTATCGTTCGGTGAGCGATGATAATTGCGACGTCTGCGGTATGGTGGACGTATTCTTACAATCGTGTGACTCGTTTAGAACGAGCATCTGAGCATATTTTTATGGTCTGCGTCGTATATGAATTCGAATCGATATCTCTTCTCCATAAAGGTTCATCAATTGTCCGTTTTGATCCACTATACGTATCGTTATATCGGTAACGTTTCTCGCGACGACTGGGAGATAAATGACATGTGTGGGAGTATCGGATAATTTATATTCGGATGGAACGTTCACTGCGAATTCATGTATCGTATGCGCTGGTTTATCGTTATTGTACGCACTCGCGGTAATGTTGCATTCTATACGAAGTATAGTTACATTCATAATATTCACAGGTTTGTCAGACGCGTGCCACTTGTTCGGTTGTAATACGCGCGATTTTGAATAACCCAATAGCGAACCGATGTTATTCGGTGTTGTAAAATTTATTCGATACGCACATTTAATCTCGCTTCTCATAGTGTTCTCATTGGCTCGAAGAATCAATATCTCTTCTTTATGAGCATTATCGTTGTCGTCGTCGTCGTCGAATATGTACTCATCGTCACTATTACCTTTATCGTTAAGCGTTTGTCGTCGTACGTGACGAATAGCAGCTCTCAGATACCTGTTTATAGCACTCAATTCGTACGATCCTTTGGGAATCGTGATTATTTTATCGTCGGTATCGAAGTATTATAGAATTTATTATTCGCGGAAGTAACGTTCGGTATTGCGTTGTACGTTTCAAAATTCGTAAGACCCAATTCGTATTCACCATTACTTAAATCCAAGGGAAGTAACTCGCTGTGAGGATACTGGTTGTTCCATTCAACGCGAGAGTCAACGACATAATGCGATTGAAGGTGAACGTTCAACTGAGATGACTTACACGACTTATTATTGGATATATTTTTTCTTCCAATCTATTTCTCGAAGAAATCTAGACACAATTGACCGCAAATACTCTGATCGAACGTCTGATAAGATTGATGATTATACGTTATGTTTTTTCCGAGATAGCGTTCGAGTTCCCTTGACGGTCTAAGATTGCCAAAACTATCGAAGTAAATAGCGTTATTTCCTTTCTTTGCGTAAGCAACCCAGTGTGTGCCAGCATTTTCCGAATTATCCAGGTTCACGATACCACTTTCGTTTCGATACGGTTTCGTCGGTAACGCATCACGCATAAACACACCTCTGAAGAATGGTAAACGCAAACGATACGCCGCACGGCTCAACTGTTCGTTCGTCGTGATATCAGAGAGTGGTATTTTAAGAGCTTCTAACGTTTCCTCCCACGATGTTTTTTTTTACCTCTTGTCTTTTTTCTCTTTCTCACCCTACTACCACAGTAGTAAGTGGGCAGCTATGGGCCGTCAAAACAAACCCCCTCCACTCGACCTCCGGCGCCAGGTGGGCGTGGCCTAGACGGGACTGTCAGGGAAAA